AACGCTTGAATGGCCGAACCATCAAGGGAGGATGGGGAGGATTTTGTGATTTTTGCGTTTTGACGTTATTTGACGCGTACTGATGGCTGTACGTGATTGTATAGGTTGCCGTACGTCGACTTGAATCCCGAACCTTGAATCAGTGAGTTGCCCTTGGTCCTGGACCAAGTGGACTGAGGTAAGTAATTGGTTCAATGCATGTATAATTGTAAATTAGCATGTATTGTTTGAATTGCGAGTGATTGGGAATGTCCTCTGTGTAGGCATTCTGTTGTGTACCAAGTTGAGGGATAAGCTGCTACGGAGCTAGTGAGAAAACTATTTAAGGTAACCTCTTGGTACTGGGGCTTGTTCATCTTTTCTGTTCCACCTTGCCAGTTGATGGCAACGGTATGAAGTGTATATGAGTAGTGTAGAACAATATGAGCATGTATGCATTTACCACAGTGGGTACTTATGTACCGAGTCTCTGGCCAGTAGACAGTTTTAGCCTTCGGGAAATTTCGGACTTCCACTGGATAGGTCTCCGAGAGGGAGTTCCAGCTGACCTAGGGTCGTGGTGTGTGATCCGGATAGGAGCACACTAGGAATGTCTTGGGTGTTATGGTTGGTTTTGGGCATCATGGTTGTGGTTCTTGGAACACACCTTGGATGATACCCGTAGGCTTATATATGCCCAGGGCGTGCGTGGTATTGGTAGCTACCATCCCGCATCGTCGTATTTTGTATCCCGATATTCCCCAGTTTCTCTAAATCCCTTGCTTTATCTCGTTTTGAAAGTGGTTGTTTTTATACTATTGATATGCATCGAAGTGAACCATTGGGCGGAGTTTTCTCCAGAACCTCTGGGTTACTGAGATATATTCGTATATCTCACCCCGTCTCGGGGCATTTATTTCAGGAGGTAGCAGTGGAGCTGGAGCAGCGGGCAAGAGGCCCGTAGAGTGAGCAATGAAGTGCTTAGCATTTTGCATTTTGTTGGCCGTGTGGCCTAGGCTAGACTTAGGGCATGAACATCTCATATGTATGTAGGATGAGCTTCATTAGCATATTTGTTCATGTCATTTTGCCTAAGTCTAGTAGTCATGTCATGTAGTTTATTTTACCATTTGTATTTAAGTTGTAATATTGGAAGATTGTAATTAAGTTTAATTTGTAAGTTGTAAAGCAAATACTGCAATTGTACATTGATGCATGACAAATTATGATGGAAGGGCCTTAGGCCTATTTTAGATGATGATTACAAGTATGACAAAAAAATGCATGAAAGTGATGTTAGTGATTGCAACTATTTAAGAATGGTTAAAGTGAGCTATGTGTCTAATAACTATAAACTGGGTTGGGTTGTAAGTGCCCCAAGGCGTTGTTGGTCCTTGTGTGTGCCACCCATTGGATTATTACTGTATTATTATGTGATTATTAGGTACATTTGAGGCATAAATGAGCTTGAACAAATTTGGGGATTTTAGGAAAAACAAAGGAAACTCTGGCAAAATTTCTGTAGAATTGGAAGGTTTTAGGCGAGTTTCGGGAGTGCATATCTCCCTCCACAGAGGTCCGATAGGGACGTGTCATACGCCATTTTGAAGCTTGAGATGTCCCCTATATGGTGTTAAAACATGAGTCAGTTCTGGGTTGTACGAAGCCCTGTGGAATTTATTGAGTTCGGACTGTCCAGGAACCTCTGATACAGGGGCTGTTCTGGCCAGTTTTTCGGAATTTGATTCCCGCTTCCTTTCTCAGTCAAATTGAGCGTGTGATACACCAAAGTGAAGTTCGAGATGTCTAGTTTGTAGGATAAAAATTTGAGAGCAATTGGATGAGTGGATTGTGTGCAGTAATTCGAGAAGTGTGAGTGATTTTGAGTTGTTTTGGGGTTGGTTGGCTGTTTTGCTTGTCCAACTTCAAACGGCGATAACCGGAGCAAATGAGCTCCGAATTGAGCGTGTGATAGCTTGTTGAAAAGGGAATTAAGTAAGACAAAAATATAATCTGAGAAGAAGGTCTGGTTGTGAGCGGTGTGTTCACAGAAAATTAATTAGCGAACCATGTTCAAGTAAGTAAAAACGTAAAAGTTAGTAATTGGCTAAGTGGGTTTATGGGAACCCCTTAGTAACTTATAATAAGTAAAGTAAGTTATAAAAATAGTTTAAATAAGTCTTCCGCAAGAGTTTACGGTTACGGTCACAACTTTTAATTATTACGCTTTTTATGTTTTAAATGCTCGCGTAATAATCGGAAAAAGTTTATTCGCATTTTTATAAATGAATTCCTGTGATTGTAACTGCGCTTAATATCATAATTAATGTTAACAATACTGGTGTACAACAGGCTGTTACATTTTATGGTACCGTTAGTAATGTAGTATAACATGTCCATGCATTGTTGTATGTTTAGTGGTACATAGGATGTATCGTGTAACATCCCGGGTGCTGACGAGGGCGGGCAGTGATCGCCGGTGCGCAAGGGCATGGCAAAGAGCTGCTCCTGGCAGGCTTCCAGTGGCGGGGGTACATGAATGAATCGAATAACACCAGAAAGAGAGGGATTCCATAGATTGTGCTGGTATAGGACAGCACAGCTAAGGATAGCTTATAAGAATTAATTGGTACTACCTATACTAACAAGATGCATCTACTTTTCGGTAGCCCGGATCGGAAGAACTCCACAGTTAAGCGTGCTTGACTTGGAGCAATTCAGGGATGGGTGACCTCCTGGGAAGTTTTCCCGGGAAGTGTGCGAGTGAGGACAAAGCACGCTGAAAAGTCTCGTGTTAGTGTGTGGGGACAGTCGTTGATGCTTGCAAGTGGTCGGGCGTTACAATTTGCTTGTCCAACTTCAAACGGTGATAACCGAAGAAAATGAGAACTTTATGGAGCGTGTGATAGCTTGTTGAAAAGATAATTAAGTCTAGAATAACATACTAAAATATGAGAGGTTTGTAGCATTTAGATTTCTCGGAATGTACAGATTACTGAACCATGTTCAGTTATGTAAAAATCTTAAAAGTGAGAATTATGTTAAGTGGGTTTATGGGAACCCCTTAGTACGTGAGAGAAGCATTATATGATAGTTAGGCAATTGTTTTAATTATTCCGCGTTTATTTTTCAGTTATGATCACAACTTTTACTCATTACATTTTATTATTGATTTTAAATGCTTACGTAATGAAAAGAAAAAAGTTTACTCGCATTTTTAAATGAAATGTTGTGATTGTAACTGCGCTTAATAACATAATCAATGTTAGCAACACCGGTACGTAACGGGTTGTTACAATGGTCACCTTCTTCAAATTCCAGCAGTATGTGTCTATTATCATAATAGCTTTTCTGCCGATTCTGTGCCTATTTAAGTTTTTCTCTAATCATTTCAATTTGCACTGTAGTCTCTTGCACAAAATCTGGCCCAAATCTCTCTTTATCACCTACCTCAGTCCAACAAGTAGAAGTATGACATCTCCGTCCATGCAATGCCTCATACGGTGCCATACCTAGATTAGAATGAAAACTGTTATTATATGAGAATTCCACCAATGACAAGTATCTATCCCAAGCAGTATCATGCTCCAGTGTGCAAGCTCTCAACATATCGTCTCAGCATATCGTTAATTGTCTGTATGGTCCTCTCAATCTAACCATCAGTCTGCGGGTGATACGTAGTGCTCAGCCTGAGCTGAGTGCCAAAAGCCTGCTGCAAAGCTCCCCAAAAGCGTGAAGTAAATTTCGGGTCCCGATCACTTACAATACTAACCGGAATCCCGTGAGGCCTTACAATCTCATTTACATATAATTTTGCCAATCTCTCCGTAGAGAAATCCACTCGCACTAGCAGGAAATGTGCAGACTTTGTAAGTCTGTCCACTATCACCCAAATTGAATCATAACTAGCCTTAGTCCGAGGAAAACCAACAACGAAATCTATAAAGATGCTCTCCCGTTTCCACTCTGGTATATTAAGTGGCTGAAGTAAACCAGCAGGTTTCTGATGTTCTGTCTTCACTTTCTGACAAATTAGACACCTCGATACATACTCAGCAACATCCTTTTTCATCCCAGGCCATCAGAACTTAACTTTCAGATCTTGATATATTTTTGTAGCACCTAGGTGGGTAGCATACTGACCCTTATGGGCCTCAACCATAACCTCCTATGCTAACTCCTTGGGCACCACAATCTTGCCTTGATATAATAACACTCATGTTCATTCACATATATGCTGCTCTGGCCTTTCAAGTATTTTACACTATCATTTTGTATTTGAGTCTCTTTGATCTTCTCTAGCAATTCATTTTCAATTCTAGTCAGCTCAATGTCACAAATTCTACCTGCAAAGAAATCCGTTATTCTCAAATCCTGGAATTGCTCAATCACTTCATTATCCCACATCATCATATGAGACAAACTAACAGACTTCCTACTTAAGGCGTCGGCCACCACATTAGCTTTCCCCGGATGGTATTTCAGCTCAAAATCATAATCTTTTAAGAATTTTACCCATCTACGCTGTCTCATGTTCAGCTCTTTTGTAACACCCTCCCTTGTATGCTTCCAAGAGAGTTGTTTGCTAAGCGGATTAGAGTTCTTTAATCATATTTTAGAGACTGAAAATCACTTTTACAATGCCAATTAAAAACTTATAATTGAAATCGGGTTCGTCACAAAAATCAGAGTATACTTTCAAAATTTCTCAACTACTGAAAATACAACTTTCCTTGCAGACCTTGCTGTCTTTAAAAATTCGTATAAAATTCACTTCAACGATTCAAAAAAATATTCTTTGTAATCTAGATACTAGACATCAGGGGCTTCGCGTTCATATAAAATAATAGTAATTTGAAGGTCGTTTGCCCCTCGAAACAGAACTCGTAAGGCGAGAGTTAAAATCAGTGAATTTATATCGAACGACCCGACTTGCAAAAATCATAATAAATCGAGCTTTCAGAATTTCATTGAAAGGTTTATATATGATGAAACTAGATACTTGGGGCTACGCGTGCATATAAATTATAAGAAAATCAGAGGTTCGTAGCCCCAGGACGCCAACCTACAAAATGCTCGCACAAACAGTTTTAACTTAGCTTTTAAAACATCATGAATCAGTTTTCGTAGAAACAGTTCTGAAATCCGTTTCAAAACACTTGTTGTTCTTAAAAGTCTTAAAACATAATGCAAACATAGTTCACTAATAATTTAAACATCCACAATTAGTACAGTCATCCATGAAAATAATACAATCACAGCAGCATGCCCAATAGTAGAAACCAACAGCAAATATCCAAGTCCTCAAAAGCTTTTACGTCCTCCTGCCATTTTATAAAAATAGCAGCCCCAAAGGGGTGAGAAAAATCCCAGTAGTGTGGCAACAAAACCAATAATGCAACAGTATTAAACTAGGCACAAAATTATAAACAGTCGCTTCAAACATGAAATCTTTTTCATCATATAACCTTTTCATCATATATCATATTGCGTATATAACGCCTTCATCACGCTCATAGCACCGTCGTGCGCGTGCCATCACAGTGGAAATTCCATGCACGACACCATCATTTGGGGAATTCCACTGTGGCCTATGCGGACTGACGCCAACTGTCCCAGAACCCTGATATCAAGGGATGCCTATATGATGCGTGCTCAATCACATGGTCCTATATATATAACTATTCTAAGACTCAAGACTAACATGAATTTGGTACATGTATGCCATGCTATATGCTGTCACACACAAACAGAAAGACAAGTGCGGTATGATGTACGGTGGATGCATATATCATCATTTCATACATATACTTCTTGTACATTGGATGTCATACTGCCAAACCATTCTTTCTTTTCATAACAGAATTTCCATAATCATAACATTTCCATAGGCAGAATAATTTCATCATTTATGGCAAAATAATCATAAGGCACATGTGAGCAACAATTCACAATTCATACACTAGTCAATAGTCACATCAGGTAATACCGCCTAACACATACCTCGAGTCCTTAATACTTTAATGAACACATCACCGAGTAGTCCATTTAGCTAGGACTTTGTGCACCTAATCAAGTACATAATTATCAAGTCAGAATTGGTTACACATTTTCACTATACATTACATAGAATTTCCCTTCTCCTAGATCCTTGGCTCACCATCGGTTTCATGATCCTTATATTAATTTAGTTAGTTTAACTTAGAATTTATTTTGCCAGTAGATAATATGTGACCTATACATGACCTTCCATGCAACAAGTTCGGTTTCTTGCCCCAATTAGGTGCTACACATTTAACATTTACATAACCTTATGTACTACCTTTAGGGTGCGCCAAGGGGCATACAGCAGGTTGACTATATAGATTATTTAACACAAGCCAAACTGGACAGGACACTAGTCTAACAAAACGGTACTATCATTGAGGAGGGTTGTTTTCCAAGTCTCAAAATTCTGTTATAAGCATGAACTCATTCATTATTACAGTTGTCATCCTCTCACTTAACCCAAGAAAACAATTTATTTATTTTACTCTCATTCAGGGTGCAGGTTCACAAAACCAATGAGAGCTATTTCTTCCTAGCTCCTAAAACATACAGTGGCCGAACCACAACGAGGATTGGATGATAAAATACTTCTCCTCCTAAGCCTTCATGAAGGCCGAACAGAGTGGACTAAAGTAAACTTACATTCGGTTTTAATCCTCACTATGTGTTCATAATCTATCGTTTAACAAAACACTAAGTATTGCTAGCAAATAACGAAATTTCCAAGATGGCCTACACATTTGACTCGGTTTTTTACCAGAATTCAAGTGCACAAGATTTATTTATTTCCATAGCATTTCCTATAGGCTTATACTTGTAGGAACAAGGTCTGACGCCAGTTGTACATACAGGTTTAGCATCAGCAACATTATATCAGTTTTCAAGACCCAAGAACCGGTTTTAACTATATTAAGGCTTAGGTTTCCCAAGTTCCCTAACCTCCACTTTGACTTACAGCATCAATTTTAAGAGTTCCCAAACAGAATTAAAATATGCAGAATTGTTTTATTAGCTTTCTAAATACAAGGGGCAGTCCACAATTTAAATGGCTATATCCTAGTTCACAAAATTTCAGATTTGGATTAATATGTACCAATTCCTAGGACAATTTAAGGAACAGAATCAATATAAAGGAAATTACCAAAATGCAATATCCCCCACGTTAACCATGAGAGAGCCGAAGGGTGAGGAGAAAGAATAGGAGTTACAAGAATTATCTTTCCTAACTACACATATGAATCGAATAGGGAAAGAGGGGGAGGAAGACTTGAGGTCCGCATCCTTACCTTCCTTCAGCATCCAAGGTTGATGAACTACCCTCTCCATTATTCCACGAAGACTGACCAGCTGCATGCAATGGATGAGACGACTCAAGCTAGGCAGAACCATGTGCCAACAACAACAGAGAAAACTTCACTTAAAACTCTTTCCAACGAGAAGGGACAAGGAGGCAGCGAGCAAAATACCTGACCTTCACCTTGATAATTGTACACAGCCGAACACAGAAATAGAAAGGAAAAGATTTATGCTTTTGTTCCAATCTCCAAGGGTGTTGTTCCAAGGCTGAACAAGACGGGAACGTACAAGAGGGGTAGAAAATTACTGCACCCTTTGTCTAGAGGCGTATGACCAACCGAGAAAATGGAAGGAGAAATTGTTGAAGCGTTGGGTTTTCCATCCTAAATGCTCACGGTATTTGCGGTAGTAGACGAGGGAGGAAATTCAGTTTCTGCTGATGATATTTCTTCTCTTCATTACGACTTGGAGGGAAAAGGAACACAGACTTGGTCTTGGTTTAATTCTGAATAGAGGAATCAAGGCAATGGGATGTAGCTTCTATGGTGGTTAGTCGTATAGAAGGGATAAGGTGGGTGAGTTTCATTCCAAACTGAAGCTAAAGGTCATCCTACTTCTCTACCAGTCAGCGCATAAAGGGGGAGTGAGTTACCCAATTCTGATCTAAGGTATCATAAAGAATGGCCTTTGCCTTCATTGGCTGTTAAGTGATGAGGTTGGTATAGACCAATAGGATTTCATTCCTATGGATCTCACTTGGGCAATTAGGGATAATACTTGATGTGGATTTTTGGGCTGAACCTAAGTTCTCCAAAGCTTGGGCCGTCGCCCAAAATGGGTAGGAGTGACCAACACATCTCCTAATTTAATTGCTTGCAACTATTAAGATCTACCTCACTCACCTTGGATGAAAGGGGCATGGACTGATTCAAGTTTGTATACAAAGACATGCATTCCCATCCTTCGTGACAAAATTTAATAACTTCTTAAAGGTCCCCTATTTTATGTAATATAATATTAATTATTATTGTTTGTTCCCACTAGTTAATAATTAAGGTTTCTAAATAAATTACAATTAAAACTATTATTATTCCTTTCTAACTAGTGTTTTGAACTCTTAAATTACATAATTATTCACTGATAAGTTTCACTAAAACAACTTTCCCCAATTACATTAATTCCACTCTAAACATAACATTAATTCGAGTTTCAAGCATGCTACACCCCTAATCACCAGTTATGTACTTTCCTAATTTTTGTGAGATGTTACATCTTTCTGATCAAACAAATATTTCAAGCTTTTGTGATCACTGAACACAGCAAACTTCATCCTATATAGAAAATGCCTTCAGATTTTCAAGGCACACACAATAGCAGCAAGCCCCAAGTCGTGCGTCAGATAATTTTCCTTGTGCGGCTTCAACTACCTAGAAGCATAAGCAATCACTCTCCTTTCTTGAATCAACACACTGCCCAAACCTTTCTTAGAAGCATCACAGTATAATTCAAACTCACCTTCCGAATCAGGAAGAGTCAACACAGGAGCAGTAGTCAATTTCTCTTTCAATGTCAAAAACCATTCCTCACATTCTTGGGTCCACACAAAAGGAGTATCTTTTCGCGTCAGTCGGGTCAACGACAATACCATAGCAGAAAACCCATGTACAAACCTGCGATAATAACTAGCAAGACCTAGAAAGCTCCTAATCTCAGTCACAGTCTTAGGTCGTTCCCAGTCACTTACCGCTTCAATCTTACTTGGATCCACAACAACACCACTACCAGAAATAACATGACCCATAAATTGCACCTCAGATAACCAGGATTCACATTTAGATGACTTAGCATATAGCTTTTTATCTTTCAACACCTACAACACCGTCCTCAGATGATTCTTATGCTCCTCTTTGCCTTTGGAATAAATTAGGATGTCATCAATGAATACTATTACAAACTGGTTCAAATACGGTTTAAAAATGTGATTCGTATAGTCCATGAACACCGCAAGGGCATTAGTAAGCCCAAAAGGAATCACCTGATATTCAAAGTGTCCGTATCTGGATCAGAACGCCGTTTTAGGCACATCCTCCGGCTTAATTCGGATCTGGTGGTATCCGGACCGAAGATCAATCTTAGAAAATACATAAGCACCTCTCAGCTGATCCAGCAAATCATCAATACGTGGCAACGAGTACCTGTTCTTAATTATAACTTTATTCAACTGCCGGTAATCAGTACACAATCTCATGCTACCATCCTTCTTTTTCACAAATATTACTGGTGCTCCCCATGGAGACACACTCGGTTTGATAAAATTCTTCGCAGATAGTTCTTTAATATGCTTCCTCAACTCAGCCAACTCTAGTGGCAACATCCGGTATGGAGCCAAGGAGATAGGCCCCACACCAGGCAACAAATCAATAGATGACTCATTCTCTCTCTCAGGTGGAAATTTCGGTATCTCATCAGGAAATACATCAGCAAATTCATTAACCACTGGAATACTTGAAATCTCTTCCTCCTTGTCACCAACCAATCCATCCAAGAATACATAACCCAGATCACTGATAAACCCTTGGTTTAGAAAGTTTTAAAGCATGAATTATCTTAATTTATGTGATTAAATGGATGGAAAAGAGGGTTAATGTCCTAGAAAGTCCTAAATACAAGTTCTGAAGCTCATATTGAAAATTTACATTGTTCTTGTAGGAAAATGAAGCTCAAGAAGCAAAAAAGAGAAGGAAGAAGATTCTGAAGAATGGGAAAATTCTAAAAGTGTTGGGCGCTAAAACAGCTAAAGTCAAGAGTTTTAGTGCCCTGCTGCAAAATGAAGCCAAAAAGTGTTGGTGCTGAGCGCTAAAACGCGCAAAGCAAACGTTTTAGCGCCCTGTTGTTCACAAAGATGTTGGTGATGAGCGCTAAACGGTAAAGTCAAGCGTTTTAGCGCCCAAGACAGTTAAAAGTGGTTAGGTACCCGTCAAGTTGAGCGCTAAAACGTCCAACAATGAGAGTTTTAGCGCCCGTGTCAGTTTTTGGATGTTATTCAGTTAGAATTTGTAAACTATAAAGGGGGCAAAGGACCTTCATCCTATCATAACATATATCTATTCTAATCTAACTTTTCCCATCACACTAGGAGAGGGGAGATCAGATCAGATCTTTCATAGATCTGATCTGACTCCTCATTCTCTCTGAACTTCTAAATTCTTTAGGATTAGTTTTTGTATTAGTTAGTACATTTCTATGTAATTGTAATTGAAGATTGAAGACTCAACCATGATGACAATAGAGTTTGATCTTTCTTCTTTTCTTGTTTATTCTTTAATTATGTCTGAGTAGAGTCCTTTGTAGTCTGATTCAATGGAACTCAAGTGTGAATTTATGAATGGTTAATTGAATATTTTGTTTATCTCTTATATGATTGTATGAAGTTGTCTTGATTAATTCTTTCTATCAAGGGAATAGTGTAGAACATGGATGTTTATATTGTTTCTGTAATTGACAACTTCATCATCAATGTTCTAGTAGTCAAGGGATTGATGCTAGGATTCTGATGTGATCTTAAGTCTTAGTATTTAATGCATGTATTAAGAAGGGAATCACCAAGACATTGGGGTTTCTGATTAATGTTTCAATCAGGGTAGTAATGTTTCAATCAGGGTAGTAAGGGATTACATCTTGATGATAAGAAAAAGGTTGATCAACATCACATAGAAGATAATTCATCATAGAAATTGGTTCATCCATATATTCATGCTTGAGGGAAATTGATGTCTGACTACTTGTTTACAATATAACTCACATTTTATTTTCTTATTAAGTTTTAATACAATTCAATTCAATTTCTGGTGACAAGAATCAATGCAATCAATAATATTTTGTTTGATTCAACTTAAGTATATATGGTTAGTCAGTGCTTGAACACAAATCCTCGTGGGAACGATCTTTACTCATCATTTTATTACTTGTGTGACTAGTACACTTGCTAAATCCACAACAAGTTTTTGGCGCCGTTGCCGGGGATTTGTTCTTTCAACATTGACAGACACCATTAATATTTGAGATTGAATTTTTATTTTTCAGCAATCTATATTTATGTGTGATGTTTTATTTTTCTCAAAACTCTGGTCCAGAGCGCTAAAACGTTCAGACGTGACCGTTTTAGCGTGATGCGACGCACATCAATGTGTATATGTCTCTGGAGACCAGCGCTAAAACGCTTGATTTCAATGTTTTAGCGCTGGTCCACTTGTATGATTTACATGGTTATCTCATATGTTTCACACACTCTCATATTCTACTCCCTCACTCTCATTTTACACACTCTCAAATTCTTTTACCTCTCTTCTGCATCCATCCACCAATCAACCACATTGGGGTTTCTGATTAATGTTTTAATCAGGGTAGTAAGGGATTACATCTTGATGATAAGAAAAAGGTTGATCAACATCAGATAGAAGATAATTCATCATAGAAATTGGTTCATCCATATATTCATGCTTGAGGGAAATTGATGTCTGACTACTTGTTTACAATATAACTCACATTTTATTTGCTTATTAAGTTTTAATACAATTCAATTCAATTTTTGGTGACAAGAAATCAATGCAATCAATAATCTTTTGTTTGATTCAACTTAAGTATATATGGTTAGTCAGTGCTTGAACACAAATCTTCGTGGGAACGATCTTTACTCGTCATTTTATTACTTGTGTGACTAGTACACTTGCTAAATCCACAACAATCACCAGCCTGCAAGGCTTTAATAGTTTGACAGACAGACAGATAATGAGACAGACAACCAGTGGGCTTCTCAGGAGATGAAATCAACCTCTTTCCGCAGCAATCAATCATTGCGCAATTTTGATACAACCGGTCCATACCCAAAATCAGATTGACAGAGGCCAGGGGCAAGATAATCAAATCAATAGTGTAACCCCTGCCTTCATAGACAAACTCAACCTCTCTACAAATAAAGGAGGAATCACTAACCTCTTCTGTAGCAGTAGTAATACGCATGGGGGGAATCATCCGTGTTACACATATTCTGCCACGAACGAATGTCTCGCTCCCGAATCAAACAACACAGATAAATCAATATTAGAGATAAAAATTATACCTTTAAGAAGATTCAGTGCCTTCTCTGTCTGCTGCACATTGGTAGTATAAACACGTCTCACAGTAGGAATAGACGGCATGGCCTGCAGATTCGCATCCTGCCCAGTATTACTATACCATTCTCTGGCAAAATGCCCAACCTTACCACACTTGAAGCAAGAATTTGGAGCTGCAGTACAAGGACCCATGTGGTACCTCTTACATTTTTCACACTGAGGAGCGAAATTTCTGTCATTGTACCCACCCCTCTGGCCACCACTTCTTTTGAATTGACCCAGAGGCTGCCTTACCTGCAACCCCCTACCTCTATTATTATTATGATGATAACCACCTCTATAATTTGAACCAGAAGAACCAGCTGTCCTCTTAACCTCTTGATCTTTGGCAGAATTTGATTTCGGATACCTGTCATATACAGTCTCGATCCTCTTGCACTGGGTCACTAAATCAGCAAAGTTTCTTAGAGCAGTATTCGACATACGCTTAGCAATCTTCTCATTTAATCCTCTTTGGAACTTCGCAGATAGAAATTTAG